TGATTTTTAATTTTTGTATATTATTTTAATATAAAATATTTATTTTAATATAAAATTTTAGTATATTTAAATAAATTTTGATATAAAATTATTATTTTTATTTTATAAAAATTTAAAATATATAATTTAATTTGATTCAAATTTTTTTAATTTTTCATATTTCAATCTAAAATTTTATTTAAACTTAATATATATATTTAATATCTAAATCAAATAAAAAATTTAATTTAAATTAAATCAAATATTATAATTTTAAATTAATTTTTTAATTTTTTTCTCACTCCTCCTAGATGAAACAAAATCAAAAGAAAATCCAAAGGAGGGTGGCCCTAGAAAATGGGCAATGGCCATCAGCAAAGATTCCAGAAGGGAGCAGTGACCAAAATGCCAGCCAAAGGCCAATAGTCTGCCAAAAGGCAGTGTATAAAACATGGCCCATATAAATTCCCCATATATGGAAATAATAATGATATATCCGTCGAAGACCAAACTCACTTGGGTTACCATTATATGGGATCCCAATTCAGGATTTCTGGGACCCACTTGCCTTTGGAAAAAGTCAGAGAGGTATTAAATATTTAAATGATGGCAATTGGCTTTTTATGTTGGAAAGGAATCTTTGAACATCGGCCATTGCAGCCACCTACTCCTTGAATTCTCCAGGGACCGTTCTCAACTTGTGGCGTTGATCAGTTCTGTCTCCCACAAGGAATTAATGGATCTCATCGCCAATTCAACCATCCAGTTAAATCTCCGTGAATGTGAAGTCCTGAGGACCGATGAGATGAAGATTCTTTTTTTTGATAAGATGAAGAAAATTATAATTTTGAGTTATACTTAAAAACCTTTATTTATGTGATCGATGGTTACACATAAATTATCAACAGGTCAGTGACATAAGAAAAATGTGGCAGAGAGCGATAGCTACTTGTCATGATCATGGGCCCAAAAACACACCAACGATAAAAGCGAATGGATTTTTTGACCTTTTCTGAGGCGTATCATGATTGCCGTTGATTTGGCTAATGTTATTTTGTTGGAATATTTTATCTATAATTTTTTATTATAATTTTATAATTATTTAATTATAATAAAAAATTATATGAATATTCATCATAATATATATAATTTAAAATTATAATTAATTATAATATAATAATTATAAATGATACATTATCTGTCTTGTCACAATTTCTCGTTGATTTACAGCTCAAAAAGAAGTTACTGCCAGTGTTTGATCCCATTTTTTTTACAGGCTGAATAATAATTAAATTAATTGGAAACTCCAATACCTAGCGCCACCAAGTCACTCCCAGGTCCCACCTACTATTTGCACGTCAATCATGCAAGTTAAGATTATATTTTGAAGCCACTAAGGGTAATTCCGGCATCCCAAAAAAGACTCAAATTACAGCCTTTTTTTTTTTTTCAAATCGCTTTATATATTTTCTCTATTAATGAACTGAAATAATCTCGTAATATTATTTTATATATAAAACCAAATACAACCACAAGCGAACGAATAGGTAGGCAACAAGCGAACAACAACACATGGCCATCAGTCATCTTCACACCCATTTTAATCACAATAAATGTATGTGTATATATATATATATATATATATATATAGAGAGAGAGAGAGAGAGAGAGAGAGAGAGAGAGAGAGAGAGAAATTAATGATTCAGTTGGTGCCTTAAAAATTGGAATATTATACGTTACGTTGGAATTTAGATTGCACTGCGTAAACGATAAATGCTTAAAGCCCAATACTATCCTGAATTAAAAGTTAAAGATCAAGATCAAGTTCACGAGGCTCGTAAAGTGGGAATAGTCTAAATAAATTTCTTAATTTTATGTCATTTATTTTAGAGAAATTATTAAATATATTAATAGTGAAATTTTTTAATTTTATAAGTATAATTAAGATGGTAGTATATTTTTTATATAGTTAAAATTTTTAATTTCAAAACAAAAAAATTTATTATTTTAATTTTATTTGTGAAGTTAAAATATTTTAACTGTTAATATATCAAATAATTTTTTTTCTATTTTAATTAAGTTTTGTTGACAAATGAAAAGATATATATATATATATATATATATCAAATTTAATCTAAATCATATAATTATTATTATCGTATATAAAAGTTGTAAGATAAACGATTTGAAAGACAAAATGGTTTTGTTCTTTCCTATAATCATTTTTCTTGCTTTCATCATCTTTTTCCTTATACAGTTGTAATATTGTCGAAACTTGTCTTAAAATCTTATATCCGATGTCTCTTTGATCATTTTTTTTTTCTTTGATAGATCGGACGAAGATTTTTTCCTAAGATGCTTATGAACTTTATCTTACTAACTCAAAAAAAACCTTAATAATTTAATAGTTTAATAAAAAAAAACCTTAACAATAGGTTCATAGTGAAGTGATGGCAAAAAAAAAAAAAAAACAAAAGGTGAATTGTGAATTAAAATTAATTAATATATACACTTGTTGAATAGTGGTCCTCAACAGTAGTCAGCCTCAAGCCTCAGGTTGTTGTCTTGTTTGAAGAATCTTTTACCAGCCAGAATAACAACAGCCAGAAGATGCAATATTTTTGCAGTACATCTGCTGCTCATTATTGTATGCATTCATATTTTGTCACGGTGATGGATATGGAGCAATGGAGTTACCTTTTCATGTCATACATTTCCAGATATTTACTTCCACCTAATACTAGTATGTTCATTCCAAAAATAGAAATTCTTATCAAATAGCATGCATGCTCCTCCTCCTTTTTACTCCATTGATGATAATTTTGCTGTGATGAGATAGTAATTGTACTTACTAATTATTTGATCGTTACGGATGTATTATTTAATTGTTACTATCTACACAAATTACTCCGATTGGCAAATAGAAGAACATCATTACTTGCTAGTAAATTTTGATATTTGTGAAAAATATGTTGATGATAAAAATTTGAGTGTACTCCGTTGAATATATAGGGGTGCGTCTTTAAAATTGTTAAAAGAAAATTAAACAAAATTTGAGATATCTTTTATCATTTTACCAAAAAAAATTGTAAGTGTTACTATATTTCTATGTAGGATTAAATATTCAATTTTGGTTCTTATATTATGTGTTTCCTATCAATTTCATATTTTTTAAAAAATTCATAATTAATTATATAAATTTTGTATTTCGTGAGGCACTTTGACCCAATTATTATCATTAATTAAGTAGTTGACATAACTCATGTCATAAATATCAAATAAAATCTTGATACTTGTCAAAATATCTAATTATTATCACATAATTTATTTGTTTATAATAAATATATTTAAAAAATAATAATAAAATTTGTAAAAAACTTTAAAAAATGAAAAATTTTATAAAAATCCAAAAAAATTTGATTTAAAATAAAAGTTAAATTTTAATAAATAAAAAATTGAAAAATGTATAAAAAATCGAAATATTGAATTTATTTAAAAATTCAATATTTTAAAAATGATATGACATTGAGCTGCAGCTGCGATGAAAGCGTTGGGCTTATATTATTTTTATTCCTCAATATCCAAAACAAGACATGACATTGAGCTTGTGAAAGGTTTGTCGTTGGGCCATGGGCTTGTGTTGGCAGCCATTTCCTCCTAATCGAATTCCATCAATCAAAACTCAAAAGCCCAATATTTAGTACGAGTTTAACAGCTGGAATCAACGAAATGATATTTAAGAATATTTTTCCATTTTCAATATCATTTAGTACTAATCAATCGATTCTTTGTTGTAATAGTAGTTGTTTATTAAAGAAAAACTTGAATGGTTATCATTACATGGTTTTAAAATTTCAAATTTAACAAATAATATTTCATTATTATTAATTAAATAAATAAATTATGATCATAATAAAATTTGAATATGTTCAATTTGCTTAAAGCTTAAATGCAACTTTACTTAACAAGTAAGAATAAGTTGGTGATTAAGAGTTAAGACTTTTGACACAATCGATAACCGTTCGATATCTCCAAAGTTCTAATCCAATAGCAATATTTCTTTTGACACAATCGATAACTGTTCGATATCTCCAAAGTTCTAATCCAATAGCAATATTTATTACTAGTATAAAAGAAAGGTCAAAGTAAGGCTGGAGGAAGAGCAATATTGATGACTTTTCTGGTTGTTTTAGTTGGAGAGAGCAGGTGAGAAATCGAAGTGAAGTGACCTGAATCTATAGCCATAAAGTACGGTCAGGGGCTTTAGAATTGATTCTCCTATACTTGCTTCGATGCACAAATCAATGAAATTCTTAGGATTTGAATAAGAAGAAGTGAGGTGTGTATAGAAAATTTCAGTGAAAGGACAACTTAGATATTAAAGTTTTAGGTTATTTTTACGTATTTAATTTTTTTTTATTTTGTATATAAGATAAAAAGAGATGATTTATTGAAATAATTGATAATAAGTATACATGAAATTTGAAAAAGATTCGTATAGATTCATATAAATTATATTTAATAATTTCAGATAAATATGGTTCATATTTTATAATTATAGGTAAATTAAAAATTAAATGTTTAATTTTGAAGTGATGTTATGATATGATGTTAATAAAAATATTAGGTGAGCCTTTCCTTAATTGAGAGAAAAATCAATTTTTGAAGAGAAATGATATGGTAATTAAAAGTATGTTAATTGGATGCTTTAGAGAGATTCAAGAGAGTTAATTATATTAATCGAATAAATAGACGTAATGATATTAAAAGAGTTTTTAAATTTTATTATTTTATTTATATAAATTTATATATTTTTATTTTACTCAAATAAAATTTTATTTTTAGATTTATGTCTAAATATATTTTATTTCAAACAAAAAATTAATTTATATTAAGAGTTTATTTAAATATAAATTAAAAAATAAAAATTTATTTGAATATAAATTAAAATATAAAAATTTATTTAAATAAAATAATAAAATTTATGAAATTTTTATTATTTTAGTTCAGAATTTTCTTAGAAGGGAAGTTTCCGTGCAATTCGGGGTTGGAATGAAGCGAGTCGAGAAAAGTCAGTATTACGCACGCGGTTCGACCAAGTTAACGGCTTGGATTATATTCCCTACCTTTCCTCATCCAACAGCTCTATCCTTCTCTGCGATTCCACGCTTCTGCGTTCTACAGTACATGATTTCTTTGGCTCAACCGGAAACAACAGCAAATGTTAGCGCATGGCCTGGTCGTCTTTGAAAATTACAACATGACGTGGTCAAGCTCCCTTTATTGTACCGCTTATTCTTATTAAATGCGGGAAGGGAAAGCAAATGCAGATTCTCATGCCAAAACCACACCAGCATACAAATACGATCGTATCGTGTCCTTTCCCGGAATTTTATTGCTTGCTTCTTGAGTATTAGTACTGTGTGTGCGCTGCGTAGGTTTCTCCTTCAACAACTTTCCTCTTCTGCAATTCCATTTCGGTAAGCTTCGCCTCGGTTCTTATTGTTGCAAATGAATATAATCCATTTATTTATTTATTTATTTTAGTAAAAATAAAAAAAAATAATTATGCATCAATCCTCATGGATTGACTTTGCTAATCAATCTGCGTTGTAATTTCAATCCGGGTCTTGTTTTTTGGTTTACCTTTTGATGTGTCTCGCAAAAGGGTTGCAAAGAAATAATATTAGTAAATAATATAGGTAGGGATATCCAATCAGTTAGTTTTTGTTTGTGAATTTGCAAAGAAAATTGGGGAAATGGGTTTTATTTCATTTCCTCGCGACTGCCAGTGGTCAAATGATAAGAGAAGAGACTGATCGTTGTAGTTGTCTGCTTTCCGATCCTCAAAATTATTGCATCTCAAACATTAATTTGTCTTGAAATTATTGATTTCTCTTAATAAGCTGAATTTTTTCTTTACGCAATTAAATTCAAGTACTTCATTCCTCTAGAAAGAGAAGAAAGCGTAAAGATATAGATAGGAGTATTATTGAAGGAGCAAAAGGTGTGGTTGTGATAGTGAATTCAAGCTTCAATAGGTGATAGTTTAGATGCATCCATGTGTATGTATAGTGGATAAATAAACCAAAATAGCCTATTTTACGTTGTTGTACCGATTGATGTTGATAAAATACCTTCATTTTACTCCTAGTATGTGATTGTTGTACTGATTGATTTTGATAAAATGGCAATCGTATAAGTTTGTATTGTTTTCCCTTCTTGGATGGTCATTTACTATTGCATAAATTAAACTTGTAGGGGTTTCAAACTGTTGCTAACCTTCACACGAATGACTGCTCATTCTGGTGTTCGGTCATCCAATTGTGTACTGTAGTACAATCCGATCATTTTTTTTCCATTCCCAGAAATCTGTGAACGTCATTATCTTGCCATTTTGCTCCTTGTCTGATGGGGTGGGGGAATATTTACAGAAGACGTGTGAAAGTACTCACAGTTGCTTTTGTAATCTACCTGGATTATAAGGTAAAATTTCTTGATTCTCACTTCTATACCGAGTTAATGCTTGGACAATCTAAATCACCTGTATTCTACTTTTACTGAAGGCTGTGCAGCAAAGAGAAAAATGGACTAACAAATCAAAAAGAGCTGCATTATGGGAAAAGGTTCATGAGCGCAATGCTAAGCGTGTTCTTAGTTTGATGATAGAGTTGGAAGGCTTGTGGGTGAAACTTGGGCAGTACTTATCCACACGTGCTGATGTGCTTCCTGAGGCATATATATCCCTTCTCAAGCAATTACAAGACTCTCTTCCACCTCGTCCCTTAAAAGAGGTAATAAATATTTTGATGTTCGGAGATCAATTTCTTACCCAATGTTATCACTCTGACTATGAACAAGATGAGCGGGATTTAGTGGTTTAGAGGTTCTCCTGGATAGCCTGTCTGCCCAATCGATCTAGTTGGAAAGCATCTCAGTTCTCCTTTCATGCACTTCTATTATTGTTGATTGCATGATTTTGAGGTTGTTATTGCCATATGATCCCAATTGTAGTTCATGTATCCTAAGTATTACAAAAATTCTTATGGTGATGACTGATGACTGAGTAATACCATGGTCTGCCAACCCAAGATATGGAAGCTGTTGTGCTTAATTGGATTTATCACCATGTGCTGTGTAAAGACTGGATGTTCTTATCAGGTTGTTTGCAGAGTAGATGTATGCCTCCATGAATGGATATATAACTAGGTTTCAAAGTGCTTTTGCTTGTACAGATTAACTTGTATTTGGAAAATTATTAGCTTGGTAAAAATTGAGTCTTAGATATATGGGGATAGCTTTGGGAAATCATTGCAATGTGCTCAAGCTAGTTGGATTTGGCCACATTCATCCATTTTCTCCATTTTGTTTGACTAAAGGCCATGTCTTGTATATTATTTAAAGAAATCATTACAATATCCTTGGTAAAATTTTTATTTTAGAAATTTTAATTTACATGTAACCTGGAGCATTTTTAATCCATAAAAGACAACCCTTTTGGTTTGGAGAAGGATAAGAAGGATAAAGACTGACATGGTTTCCTGCTGACCACGATATTGGGCAGTGAGAGAAATTTTTATTTCATGCTAAGTTTAGATTTAGAATTCCATAAAAAGCCTGTACAAAAGGTATCTTGGTGCATTAGATGATCTCCAAAGGCTTCAGTAAATGAGCAATAATAATTCCAACTAAGATGTGGATAAAGCAGCCGAGGACAAACATAAAGAATAATGAAGTTGAAACTTATTTTCGTGTAACTTTCAGTTGATTCTATACATATCTAATTCTCACAGGAAAGTTTATAGATGCGTCTTTTTGTTTCTGTTCCTATCAGTCCTTCCATATGCACTTATTGACGTTTTTTGGCCATATGCACTTATTGAGCAGGTGCTTATTTTCATTTGCACAGGTTTGTCAGACTATACAAAAGGAGTTTGGCACGACTATGGATGATCTCTTTGCAGATTTTGTGGAAGAACCTTTGGCAACGGCATCAGTAAGGACCATAGTTGTGTTGCTTTGTTCTCCTAAGGGAAATTAAGCGTATTTCCTTGAAAACTTGTTGACAAATGAGGACATCTTTATTCTATGCAGATTGCACAAGTCCATCGAGCAACGTTAATCAATGGGCGGGAGGTGGTGGTTAAAGTTCAGCATGAGGGCATCAGAGAAGTCATATTGGAGGTTTTGCATGCTTTGGCTTTTAGGATGTTCGGATGAAAGTAAGAATTTCTGTCATTATATGGTTGTTGGACATGCTGTTGTGTTGCAGGACTTAAAGAATGCAAAGTCAATTGTGGACTGGATAGCTTGGGCCGAACCACAATATGACTTTAATCCAATGATAGATGAATGGTGCAAAGAAGTCCCAAAAGAGCTTGATTTCAATCAGGAAGCTGGTATGCACTATTTTAAAATGATTTATTCTACATCTGATTTATTTAATTGGGAAAAAGATGGATTTTCTTTTTAATTTAGATTATTCCCATGGTAAATTCACTGAAAAGAAAAAGTTAAATTACAGTTGTAAAATTTGGGCTAGTTTTCAAAAAGAAAATTGATATGACAGGAAAGAAAATCCTTTTTCAAATTTCTGTATTTCCACATCTACTTTAATTTCCGGTGGATTATTAGATTAATGGTGCTTGTTACTAGTCGATGATGCATCAGCAGTAATGCTGATGGTACTATGATGGCAACTTTGATGTTGTGTTTAATGACAATAGGGAACAGTCGTGTTTGACTTTAAAATTGTTTTGGGAATTGCACCTGTAGGTGGAGTTGGTGCTTGAACTGGTAATAAAATTGTGGCGATAATGCTGGTTGTGGTTGAAATGCAGTGACAAATGAAAGTTTTCTGGCATGACCATAATGGTAATGATAATAGTGGTAACTGTAATGTGGTGACATCAGTTTAATGGTGCCATTTCGGTGGCTGTTTGTGGCTGGTTGGTACTGTGGAGATCTAATAGTATTTTTGACCACTACGTGGTCAGGCATCCAACCAGCAGGGATCATGAGAATGGAACATCTCCTTAAGTTTTATACCAATAACTGGATTTGGGCCTTTAAAATGCCCAGGTCAAAAGAGAAAGATGGACAAGTCTGGTTTCCAAATTGTCTGTCTTCCCATAATTCCTTTTTCTGTTAAGTCATGCAATTATATTCTCAGACAGATTTCAATTTTTTACCCTCTCTTTTCCTGTCATTGTTCTTATCGCACTTGTCTTTGTAGAGAATACTAGAACCGTGTCTAGAAATCTTGGCTGCAAAAAGTCACTTGATGAGAACAAGTCTTCCAACCGTGTAAATGTTTTGATTCCAGAAGTTATTCAGGTATGTTCTGAGCTAACCTTTAAACATGAATATTGTTCTTCTGTTATTTTCCAGAGTGCATGTGATCCAAGATAGTGTGAAATGTTAGGATTTTGACCATCCGAGCATCCAAAAATATTATCATTCTGGTATCGTGATTCATAATGTAAATTAAAGAGGGCAGTAGCTGAGTGTGAAAGATCTAGCAGCGGAAATAATTTTGATTTGTTTTACTATATGTGGAACTAACATGTAAGAGCAATAAATATGACAGTTCCTTTCAACCAATGGTGCCTTAACTTGTTACCTCTTTGAGAGTCAAATAAGCACCTAGAAACTTTAAAAACTTGAAAAACAAAACTTAGTTTACAACTACAAGTTCTATGTTAACTGCATATAAAACAAAAATGAACTAATGTCAGATAAAGATTCAGAAGCTTTTAAATCTGTGTTTTTATGTAAAACAAATCTTATGGCTTTTAAATATGTGGTCTTATAATTTCTTTTAAGGCAAAAAATTGTTATCAGCACCCTTCCTCATCTTTGACACTGTACCTATCTCTTTATATCAGACATCTAGCAAATCTTATGCCAGTCAATAGAGAGATCTTTGACTTCAACTTCTAGGTTTTACCATGATCTCTGGTTCTTCGTGGAACATGGTAGAGAAATAAATTGTGTGCCATTATTCTAGCGCATATTTTGTGTGATGAAATCCCATTGTGAGGAAGGGGTGTTCCTCCTTTTTGTTTTACCTTAGATCTTATTAGCACGTGAAGCTTATTCCTTCATTTATGGGTGTATGTTGCCTCTTCAGTACAGAAGGCTCACTCTGATTCCTTTTGGTTTTAATGACAGTCAACCAAAAGTGTCCTCATTTTAGAGTACATGGATGGAATTCGTCTGAATGACTCTGCATCTTTGGAAGCTTTTGGTGTTGACAAACAGCAGATTGTTGAAGAAATCACTCGTGCATATGCTCACCAAATATATGTTGATGGATTTTTTAATGGCGATCCTCATCCTGGTATATACCTGTCTCTCCCTTTCCAACTCTATGTTGATGGATTTTTAATGGCCATGCTCATCTTGGTACCATGATCTATAATCTATTTATCTATGTGTCTATGTATCTATATATCTATATATCCATCCATGTATCTTCTGCAGTTTAATATCTCTGTTAAAGTTATTCTATCCGGGTTTATTTCTGATCTACATGACGCAACTTTCTCATGAGTTTTTTCCCCTTCAAAAGTTTTCTTATTAACTTACTTGCAGGAAATTTCCTCGTAAGCAAGGAAGCCCCGCATCGTCCAATTTTACTTGATTTTGGGCTTACAAAGAAACTATCAAGCTCTGTGAAGCAAGCACTAGCAAAGATGTTTTTGGCATCTGCCGAGGTTTGTGTCTGTGTGTTTATTTATATTATTTTGTAATTTGTATTCCATAAATCTTGTGTCTCACATGAAACACAGATCATTGGGGAGATAACAGATGGCTCAATATTTTTCCTTGAGCTGTAATTTTACTTGATTTTGTTTTCCATTGCTTTACCATTAAACAAACATCTAATTCCTCTTTTACCAATATTTATTTAAACTGCATCTTATCCTTGTTTCTTTTCTTCCGACTTTAAATGTAAGGATTATGTTCTCACCCTATGTCATATAAATAATTTCTTTACTGGTCTCTACGGCTCTATACATTCAAATATAATCTAGTTCACCAAATTCTTCATCTTCATAAGGTTAATAATATGGTTCACCTTTCTGTTTTGACATTTCTGTTATTCTAGTTTCAATTATACAAACATTTTTATTGCTCCAAGAGTATTTGCAATACTGTAATTGGATTATGAAATAATATATCACTCCTTGTGGCAGGGTGACCATGTGGCTCTATTGTCTGCTTTTTCAGAAATGGGCCTCAAGCTACGCCTAGATATGCCTGAGCAGGCTATGGAGATAACAACTGTATTCTTCCGCAGTTCAACACCAGCAAATGAAGCTCATGTAAGTATCAACTGTTTGCCTCTCAAGTTGTCTGTCAACTTCTGCGAGCCCGTTTAATGCTAATTCTTTTTCTATGAAGCAAACCATGAAATCTTTGACTGAGCAAAGAGACAGAAACATGAAGGTTATACAGGAAAAGATGCAACTCAACAAAAAGGAAGTTAAACGCTTCAACCCAGTAAGTTCATTTCTGCCTTTTCTTTTTGTAGCTAACCCTGTAAGTCCATTTCATCTGCTACTGTTGTTCCTTTGGTATTTTTGTTGACTATTTAATCCATCATTAACTAAATACAATTTATTTTTAGGTTGATGCATTTCCGGGTGATATTGTAATCTTTACACGGGTTTTAAATCTTCTGAGAGGTCTGTAATTGAAACTCCTATTTTCACCTTGTTGTATTAAGTTATTGTGCCTTTTGCTAATTTATCATTTATGTTACTTAAATTCAGGGCTCTCGTCCACTATGAATGTCCGCATAGTATATCTAGATATCATGAGACCATTTGCTGAATCTGTTCTTCTAGGGTGAGTCTGTTTTAAAATTTTCAGTCAACTTTATGACAATTTTCTCCTGTTTCATCTTTGATTGAGTGTGATTATGTTGTCAGAAACATTAATAAGAGACCAGCAGAAAATGCACAGTGGATCTACAACACGCCGTTCCATTCTGATGTAGAGGTCAAGCTGAGAAGGCTCTTAGTTGAGTTAGGAAACAACGATAAAATACTAGGGATTCAGGTCTGCACCACTATCCTGTTATTAGGCTATGGTCCAATAATCTGACAAGCTTATTTTTTTTAATATTTTATTTTCCTGCCTTTATTGCACTACTGCTGTAGTTAATTATCAAGTTGGATGGCTGGTCTATTTTTATATGCCTTTGTTCCACTAATGCATCAGAGGACTTTCCTTATTTTCCACTCTTTCCTCCTTATGTAGTGATTTTTCAAACTAAGTCATTTGTGTCTTGAAATGGCTTCAATAATTGAGACTGTTTAAAGTGAGCATTTGAAGCCTCCCTGCTATTTCTATTTCATGCAGTGTAGTAGGATTACATGCACATGGTAAGTATCTTTTGAGAGCAGTTGAACGTGCCTTATATGGTCCCAAAATATGTTGCTGTCACTAACGTATAGGTTTAACCCTACTGTGCTGTCCATATTTTTCTCTGGATAAACATTAGGGACTAGTTGCTTTCTTAATGCATTCATGCTATGTTTGGAAAGATGAATTTGAGAGAGTGGATTTGGATTTAGTTTGCAATATAAATTGTGATGATGAAATGCGGATGCTATGCACAAATTAGTTAAGTTTCAATATATCTATATATTTAAAAAGATATAATAAGATGAATTTCAAATTCACAAATACCTATTGGTATTTTCAATTCATCATTAAATAGGCATTTAATAAATCCATGAATTTGAAAATAATCATAAAGGTCATATTTACACGTGCTTTATCACACAAGTTTTACTAAATTTGAAATCCAAATCCCTTCTTTTAAATCCAAGTTACCAAATACAACCTTAGGATCTATTAGAAATCCCTGATGGACTTTTTCAGTTGGTGAAAGAAAGAAATAAGGGCAATCTTTGTGTGATATACTTTGCAATATTGGACATAATTCATGCTAATTGTTGTTTCACTGTACAATTAAGAGGTAAATTGCTTTTGGTATTTTAACTGCTAGTTTACAATCAGTCAATCATAAATGATAGGCTTTATTATTATTATTATTATTATTATTATTATTATCATTATTTCCATTTTTTGATGCCTGTGAGTTTAAAAGCATATTGATTTCTGCTGATTTTGGATAATATTTTCGATTTTTATCTCAAGGTATGTGCATACAAAGATGGGGAGGTTATTATTGACACTGCTGCTGGAATGCTGGGAAGATACGATCCTCGTCCGGTTCAGCCCGATACTCTTTTTTCTATCTTTTCTGCGACCAAGGGTATTGCTGCGGGAATGTTACACTGGCTGGTAGACAATGGGTATGTAATAATGTAATAACTGCAAAGTTCAATGTTAAAAAAGTCTTTAGATTCACTATTGTGCAAAATCTGGAAATAAGAATGTTCTGTAAAATATCTTATATATGAAGGAATACTCTTCATATGCCTTATATATGAAGGAAATTAGTATGTTCTGTGATATATGTCTTATATATGTTAGTCTGTCAAATGTAATGAAGGGGAATTAAGGCATGGTGGTTGGTCAAAAAATTATAAGTGGTTCAGAATATTTTAAATAACATGCAAACTTTTTCATAGATCTTTGAAAATTCGAAGTTACGAAAAGTTTTTAAGAGTCTCAAATAAATGGTACATTGTCTTGCAGAAAACTCAAACTTGAAGAACGTGTTGTAAATATTTGGCCAGAATTTAGAGGAAATGGAAAAGAGCACATAAAGGTTACAATTCTGTGCCCAGAACCCTATTAAACATGGATAACCACCATTTAGAATGCGTAAGTATTTCAGTATAATCATTCTTTGAAATTTTCCCTTTCAGGTTCATCATGTACTTAACCATACATCTGGTTTGCACAATGCATTGGCTGACCTTAGAGCACAAAATCCTTTGCTAATGTCTGAGTGGGATGAATGTTTGAAACTGATTGAGGCATCAGTACCTGAGACAGAACCTGGGAAGCAGCAGTTTTATCATTATCTATCTTTTGGCTGGCTATGTGGTGGAATAATTGAGGTATTTTTTCATGCTCACTCTTTGGATAATGCCACTGTACCTTAATGTATTTGAGATGCAAAAGAAAAAGAAGAAAAGGGTACTAATGTTAAAATTTGAGAAAGAAACATGTTTTCAAGTGTATAAGGTATTTCCTTCCCTTTCCCTTATACTTAATTGGGCCTTAAGATTTTAAATCTTACTAAATTCCTAATAATATTATTTCATTTAATTCCATTATGATACTTACTTGAAAAGATGAAGAAGACTTAAATACTTCAATGTTGTTGGGTTGGAGTGGAGGACTATTGGAGTTGGTTCTCGTGAGGGATCACTATTCATACATAAGCTTTCAATCAAGTCAAATCATAGTGCTGTTTGAATTCAAATTAAGCTATCAGGAAATCCTTCTCTTGGAGGAAAGCTCAAACACGATAATAAATTGTTTTATGTGAAGTTTTACCTAGCTCGTTGATGTTAAATTCTTTTGGAAATTCTAATATTTTAGGGGATATGTTTTTCCAGAATTATCTTGCTTAGATTTGTTTTAGGATGTTTGTTTTCTCAATCTCTCTTCCTCTCTGACCAGTTAAACAATGTCTTCTCCAATTGTACTAATAGTGGCTTTCACCAATCCAAAAAGTTGGCTTTCTTAGGAATATTTGGGGCGATACGCTACTCATGCTTCCCACATGGTCACTCGTTCTTATCATGATCAGATTCTTCTTTCTAACATTCTGACTGACTTGAAATTATAGTAACTTAGTCTAACTAACTAACACATAGTAACTTAGTCCAACTAACTAACACATATTAACCTGGTTTTAATTTTTTAACTTGGGTGATACAGCATGCATCTGGGAAGAAATTTCAGGAGATTCTTAAGGAGGCTTTCATTCAACCACTCAAAATTGAAGGGGAGCTATATGTTGGAATTCCACCTGGTACTTCCTGTTTTTATCTTCTTGATTCATTATGTAGAAATGCTGCATATACATTACTTGCAGAACCTGGTCATCTTTACTCAAAGTGTTGATGCCTTTATTGACTCCTCTCCAGGTGTGGAATCTCGACTTGCTTCACTTACGCTAGATACAGATGATCTCAAGAAGCTCTCGGAAATGCAGAATCGAGCTGAGCTGCCATCCACTTTCCAACTCAACAACATTGCTGAGTTTGCAACTTCCTTGCCTGTTTTCTTTAATATGCTTAACATCCGCCGTGCTATCATACCTGCTGCAAATGGACATTGCTCAGCCCGTGCACTTGCACGCTACTATGCAGCCTTAGCTGATGGGGGTGTGGTACCACCACCACATTCCTCTGCTTCAAATCCACCACTTGGCAGCCATCCCCATATCCCCAATTTTCCTTCCAGAAAGGCCCATAAAAAGCAAAAGGGTAAACGGACTAACGTGGTAGATGCTGCTTTCAAGAATAAAACTAAGGATTGTAGACAAAACAGTTACACCCTGATTGTCAATGAGGGTGGCAATAGTAGCAGTAGCAGCATTATAACTGACTGCAGTGCAAACAGGGATGGTCCTCAAAATCAGAACAGCAAGATTTTCTCTAACCCTAGGATTCATGATGCATTCATGGGTACAGGTGAATATGGGAATTTGAGTTTGGCAGATGGGATATTTGGACTAGGATTTAGAAGGCTCAAATCAAGGGATGGGTCTTTTACTGGTTTTGGGCACTCAGGTATGGGTGGATCAACAGGTTTTTGTGATATTAAGAACCGGCTTGCTATTGCAGTGACCCTTAACAAGATGTCATTTGGGGGTGTGACTGCAAAGATTATTGAGCTTATTTGTTCAGAGCTAAATGTCCCATTGCCGGAGGGTTTATCAGGATCTGGTGAGAGGGGTTTTGATGTGAACAGACCACTGATTAATTAAGATTTTACCTTGTGGTATGGTTACATGTATACTAGTTTTCATCCACACGCATTAATGATGTGTTTATAGAGTTATACTTGCTCTGATTCTATTCATAATAAGGAGGAAGAAAAGCAGCCCATGATGGAATGGATGGACAATATGTAACTTATACTTCTTACATAAACGAAAATTTCCTGCATAATGGACAGTATATATGATGTGATTTTGTGTTTTAATAAGATCCACTCCTATTAATTTCATTTATTAGTAATTTATGTAAGAAAAATATGAAGTCTGATTTGTTATAATTATTGTGGTTTTGAATTTTCATCTAAAGACTTGGAAACGGCTTGGATTTGGATTGAATGCTGTCCTCCGGTCCTTGCGGCTTTCCTCGGCCAAACCCCCTTCCCCGCAACTGATTGTTATGTATTTTTCGCTTAACCAACAGAAATTTGGTCAATTTCTTTCTTTTTTTCTTTTTGCGTGCTTCTTAAGAATTATTAGACAGTGTGGCGTGTGCGGCCGTTTACCGTTTGAGTTTTTGTGTATGAATTTGCAAAGAAAGCAATATCTACTCAATCATATGTAAGCTAATTTCATTTTCCAATTTCAGGGATATTGACGCTATATTGCATATCAGACATTGATTTATCCTTTGGTTTCTCATAATACATTATGCTGAATTTTTTCTTTAAGACTTGGTTCCTCAATAAAGAAAATAAATAAGGATATAAGAGTATGGGAAAAGATTTACATGAAGTTTCATATGTCAAGTTCATGAAATTTTTTATTAAAAATAAGTAAATAAAATTAAAATTAAAAATTAAAATCAATAGATTGAAAAAACTTTTAACATAGGTTAAATATGTAAAATTTGAAAAAATTTTTTTAATAAATTTTAATGTATTTATTAAATATATATTTTTAATAAAAATATTAATAAAATTTTTACTATTAAATAAATATTGGTCAAATTTAAATTATAAATAATATTTTTAATAATTTTTTTACTTATAATTTTCACATTAAACTTTATCAATATATTGATTTTGATTTTTTTATTAAAATTTTTATTTACTCATTTTTTATAAGAAATTTTACAAATTTCATTTATAAAGCTTAATGCACGTAATATGAAATATTGAGAAAAACCTTTGGGTTAATTATATATATATGGTGACATGTGGTAAAGAATTCAAGCTTCAATATAAGATGGTTTAGATGCATGAGAATGGCCATTTTAACATTAATGTTGTACTTACTGCTTGATAGATATTGGATAAAATGTCAATCATATTCTATTTCCTTGTTGGATCGATGGCCATTTACTATTGCATAAATTTAATTTCTTTTGATTTTCCTTCAATTCCCTGGAGATCTGTGAACTTCATTTTGCTACCTACTATAGACTAGTCTGATGGGGTAGGCAAATATTTGCACAAGACGCATCAAAGTGTTCTCAGTGGCTTTTATAATCTATCAATGCATCTTTGTATCTTTCTATATATCCATCCATGTATCTTCAGTTTAATTTCTCTATTAAAGTAATTCTTGCCACGTTTATTTGTGATCTTCATGATGCTGCTTACTCATAAGTTTTTTTCCCTTTTAAAAGTTTTCTTGTTTACTTGTTTGCAGGAAAGCAAAGAAGCCCCAAATCGTCCAATTTTACTTGATTTTGGGCTTACAAAGAGACTATCAAGGTCTGTGAAGCTAGCACTAGCAAAGATGTTTTTGGCATCTGCCGAGGTTTGTGTCTGTATGTTATATGTATATTATTTTATAATTTGTTTTCCAATAATCTTGCATGTCATTTGAAATGCAAGATCATTAGGGAGATAACAGTTGGCTCAATATTTGGACCTTTAGTTGTAAAAACCTAAGGCTTCGTTACTTAACCATTAAACAGTCATGTAATACCTGTTTTACCATTTAAACTGCATCATATCCTTGTTTCTTTTCTTCCTACTTCAAATCTGAGGATTATGCTTCAAATCAGTCATTGTTTTACTGCTCTTCAAGGCTTCATACCTTCAAATATAATTAAGTTCTCCAAAATTTTCACCTTCATTTACTTTAATATATATGTGTGTTTGTGTGTGTGTGTGAGAGAGAGAGAGAGAGATGGTTCACCTTTCTGTTTTGACATTTTTAATATTCTAGTTTCAGTTATGCAAACGGTTTTATTGCTTCCATCTTCTTCTCTCCAAGAGTGTGGATTACGAAATAGTAATATATATGTCACTCTTTGTAGCAGGGTGACCATGTGGCTCTTTTGTCTGCCTTTTCAGAAATGGGCCTCAAGCTACACCTAGATACGCCTGAGAAGGCTATGGAAGCAATAAATGGATTCTTCGGTCATAAAACACTAGCATATAAAGCTCATGTAAGTATCCGCTGCTTGCTTCTCAAGTTGTCTTTCAACTTCTACGAGTCCATCTAATGCTTATTCTTTTTGTATGAAGCAAACTGTGGAAACTTTGGTTGAGAAAAAAGACAAAAACAAGAAGGTTACACAGGAAAAGATGCAACACAACCAAAAAGAAGATACACCGTTCCCAGTAAGTTCATTTCTGCTTTTTCTTTTGGTACGTAACCATGTAAGTTCATTTCATCTACTACTGTTATTCCTCCGGTATCTTTTTTAACTATTTAATACATCATTAATAACTAAGTAATACAATTTATTTTCAGATTGATGCATTGCCGGATGATATTGTAATCTTTACACGCGTTTTAAATCTTCTGACAGGTTTGTAATAGAAACTCCTATTTTCAGCTTGTTGTATTAAATGATTGTGCCTTTTTCTAATTCATCATTTCTGTTACATGGATTCGGCGCTCTCATTCACTATGAATGTCCGCATGATAGATCTGAATATCATGAGACCATTTGCTGAATCTGTTCTTCTAGGGTGAGTGTATTTTAAAATTTATAAGGTCAAGATTATGAATTTTTTCTCCTGCTTAATCTTTGATTGACTAGTGAGTACATTCTCAGAAACTTTATAAGAGACCAGATGCAAATGCACAGTGGATCTATAACTCGCCAGTCCATTCTGATGCAGAGGCCAAGCTGAGAAAGCTCTTGGTTGAGTTGGGAAATAATGATAAAATACTTGGGATTCAGGTCTGCACCACTATTCTGTTATTAGACTATGGTCTGATATCTGACAAGCCTCTATTTCTTTTTGAATTTTTATTTTCCTGCCTTCGCTCCACCACAGCAGTAGTTAATTTTCAAGTTTGATTCTGTTCTATTATTGCATGGCTGGCCAAATTATTTGGAAACATTACATTAAGCTCAGTAAATCCGTCACAGGACTTTGTTTCTTTCTATTTTTTTTGCCCCGCTCCCTTTTCCTCATGTAGTGATTTTCTAACTAAGTCCACTGTGTCATTGAAATGGCTTCAATAGTTGCAACTGCTTTAAATAAGCATTTGAAACCACCCTAGTATAATAGTTTAGCAGGATTACATCCACCTTCTCCATAAGTATATTTTGAAAGGCGATGGAACGTAATTTATATGGTCCCAAAGTATGTTTCTACCACTAACGTACAGGTTTTCTTTGGATAAGCTAAAATTTGATTATCCAAAAGTAGCCGAAAATGGCCTGCAACAAGAATCACTAATGTATATGTTTAATTAACCCTACTGCACTTTCCATATTTGTCTGGAAAGCATAATGAATTTAGTTGCTTTTTAATAGATAAATCATTTAGGACCTTGAGTGTCGAAGTAGAAATTAGAATTCCTTCTCTTCTTTAATAGACTTTTTATATTTGGTGAGAGAAAGAAATAAGGGCAATCTTTCTGTAACTAATATACTGTGCAATGCTTTTGGTATTTTAACATTATAGTTAAAAATGCTAGTCTGCAATCATGAATGATAAGCTTTGTTTTCTTTTTCTATTTTTGATTCCCCTGACTTTAAAAGCATTACTGTTGATCTTGTTAACATTTTCAATTTTTATCTCAAGGTATGTGCCTACAAGATGGGGAGGTTATTATTGACGCAGCCGCTGGAGTGCTTGGAAGATACGATCCACGCCCAGCGCAGCCGGATACTCTTTTTTCTGTCTTTTCTGTAACAAAGGGTATTACTGCAGGAATGTTACACTTGCTGGTAGACAATGGGCATGTAATAATGTGACAATTACAAAGTTCAATGTTGAAAAGTCTTCAAATTCACTCTTGTGCAAAATATGGAAAAAAAATTAGTATGTTCTGTAAAATATATCTTATAAATGTAGGAATAATCTTTTTTTTTTTTTGGTCATGAATGCCTCAGCTAAAATGTCCTCGTATTCTAGAATTTTCATATGTTAGCCTGTCAAATGTAATGAAGGGAATTAAGGCATGATGGTTGCTCAAACGATAATGGTTCAAAATTTTGCAAATAGCGTGCAATTTTTTTCATAGGTGAGATCTTTGAAAAGTCAAAGTTACGAAAATTTTAAATAGTCTCTAACAAATGATACATTGTCTTGCTGAAAACTCAAACCTAAGGAAAATGTTGCTAATATTGGCCAGAATTTACAGGAAATGGAAAAGAGCACATAAAGGTTACAATTCTATGCACAAAGACCTATTAATTAAACTTGGATAACAACCATTTAGAATTCGTAAGTATTCATTATCATCATTCTTTAACTATTTTTCCTTTCAGGTGCATCATGTTCATAACCATACATCTGGTTTGCACAATGCTTTGGCTGACTTTGGAGCAAAAAATCCTTTGCTAATGTCTAAGTGGGATGAATGTTTGAAACTGATTGCGGCATCAGTACCTGAGACTGAACCCGGGAATCAGCAGTTGTATCATTATCTATCTTTTGGCTGGCTATGTGGTGGAATAATTTAGGTACTTTTCTAACGCTAACTAATTGTATTATGTCAGTGCACGTCAGTTTGTTTGAGAAGAAAAAAAAAGAAAAGAAAAGGGAACTAATGTTAATGTTTGAGAAAGAAGCATGCTTTCAAGTGTAGGAGGTATTTTCCTTCCCTTTCCCTTGTATTTAATTGAGTCTTAAGACTTTAAAGTCGAACTATATTCCTAATGAGATTATTTCATTTAATTTCATTATGATTCTTATTAGGATATAAAGAGGGTTTACATAATTCAATGTTGTTGCGGTTGGTTCTCACGAGGGTTCACTATTCTTGCACAAGCTTTGAATCAAGTAGAACCATAATGTTGTTTGACTTTGAATGAAGCTATCTGGAAATCCTTCCCTTGTGGGAAAGCTCAAACATGTTAATACATTTTTTTTCCAGTGAAGTTTCACCTAGCTCAGTGATGTTAAATTCTTTTGAAATTCTATTATTTTAGAAGGTATTATTCCCAAAACTCTTCTCCTTGAATTTGTTTAGCTATTTTGATCTAAAGGTGTAAAAAATGAATAAGATTTACACTAGTCTAAGCGGATCTTTCTCGATATATATTATATATATAGTGGCTTTCGCAGGAACATTTTGGGTGATACAATTCTCATACTTCCTTCATCGTCACTTGTTAATCAAATTCTTACTACCATTCTGACTGACTTGAAATTTTAGGAACTTAGTCTAATAAACTAATACATATTAACCTGGCTTGTTTGGGTGATACAGCATGCATCTGGGAAGAATTTTCAGGAGTTTCTTGAAGAGACACCCATTCATCCTCTCAAAATTGAAGGCGAGCTATAAGTTGGAATTCCTGAAGGTGCTTCAAATTCCTGTCTTTATCTACTTGATTCATTAAGTAGAAATGCTTACTACTATTCATATTATACGTTACTTGCATGCCCTCCTTAGTTATCTTCTCTCAAACTAGTATTAATGCCTATATTGACTCCTCTTCAGTTGTGGAATCTCGACTTGCTTCACTTACGCTAGATACAAATGATATCACGGTCTCGGCAATGCCAATGCGCAATCTAATGGATCAGTTGCCCTTCACCTTCCAACTCGACAATATTGCCAAATTCGCAATTCTTTTGCCTGCTTTATTTAACATGCTTAACATCCGCCTTGCTATCATACCTGCTGCCAATGGACATTGCTCACCCGTGCACTTGAACGCTACTATGCAGCCTTAGCTGATGGCAGTGCGGTCCCGCCACCGCATTCCCCTGTTTCAAATCCACCTCTTGGCAGCCATCCTCATATCCCCAATTTTCCTTCCAACAAGAACCATAAAAAGCAAAAGTGTAAGCGGACTGACGTGGTATATGATGCTTCGAAGGATGAAAATAATAATGATTGTGGATAAAACAGAAATTACAAAGTAGATGTCAAGGATAGTAGCAGTAGCACCAGTACAACTGATTGCATTGCAAATAGGGATAGTCCTAAAAAAGAGAACAGCAAAATTTTCTCGAACCCTAGGATTCGGGATGCATTCATGGGTGTTGGTGAATATGAAAACTTGACTTTGCCAGATGGGGTATCTGGACTAGGATTTAAGAGGCTCAAATTAAAGGATAGGTCTTTTACTGGCTTCGTACACTCGGGTTTAGGAGGATCAACAGGCTTCTGCGATATTAAAAACCGGTTTGCCATTGCTGTGATCCTTAATAAAATGTCATTTGGGGATGCGACTGCAAAGATTATTGGGCTTGTTTGTTCAGAGCTAAATATCCCATTGCTAGAGGAGTTATCAGGATCTAGTCAAAGGGGTTAGACCTCTGATTAGTTAGGGATGAGAATAAAATATTGCCCTGTCGTGCTGTTACCTGTATGGTTCTTGCACACGAAATTGTATGTACTTGATATGGTTTCAAAAGAAGCAGTGGCATGGCAACAATAGGAAGTTTGATCCGTGATTAGGAAGGTCTGTGGTGGCATTGCAATCGCAGGAGACTTGATTCGTGACTCGAAAGTTTAGTAGGTTACATGTTTAAATGTTAACATAGTGTTACAGACAATTTGCAGGCGGAGCTATGGGGTGGTAGAGAGGGAATGCAAATTGCAAAAAATAGGAGGATTCAACGATTAATTGTTGAAAAGGATGGTTTGGTGGTGCAATTTCTTAATTATAGTGTTCCAGATTCACACCCAATTTTCATACATTAATGAAGTACCGTTGGTGAGTTGATAAAGGAAAGATGGGTGATTCAAGTTCGTCACATTTTCAAAAAAAGATAATTGTTCCTCGATCCTATAAGCTGAAATAAAAAAGGGTAGGTGATTATGAAATGAAAAAAGTTTCATTTTCCTAGGAAAAAAAAAAAAACAAAACAAAACAAGAAAAAGGAAATAGGAAAGATAGTTACATTACATTTCATACAAAAGTAATAACCTATACTGGTAGTAGTAGTAGTATTTATTGACTTAATAATATATACTAGTATAAGATATGAGAAAATCCCCATACAAAAGTAAGTGGATGAATGGATGATGGATCCACAATAGTATCTTGTTAATGCGTGAAACAATAAAATCACGCAATTCATTGGTATTCTTACATTTTCATGCTATATTGCTGAACTAATAATAATAATAATTTCATAGATTAGTTAACACGTTCAACTACAACTAGGATTCTAGGAAATGCGGTTTCTGCACTCTGCTCATTATTGTTAATTTTATTTTAAAATACTTGTAATGGTTGTTAATTAATTTAATCTGCCTCTTTCATCAGAATATTATGTCATCTACTAAATATGATTCTAAATTATTTATATTCTGGTCTACTTAAAAAATATATAATTTATTCTGGTTTACAGTACACGAGATCAGGAGAGTGGTGTCCTACAAAGGAAGTGCTATATTATTCTTATTATATAAATATAAATATATAAGCAAAGCAGCCATTGTCCATTGGCATTAATTGGCAGACATTAGGCTGTTCAATCCCCACCACCACTATATAGGCTGGTTGGCTGTGGATGAGTTCATCGACATTTAAATTTACGGGCCGACTCGTGAGGGTGACACTCGCAGTTACTACGAATACGGAGTAAAATCTTTACACCAAAAACAATACTACTTACTATAAACTATACTGAACGATATCGTCGACCAATAATTTTTAAAAACAACCTCAGCACCAAAACAAACTGGCTGACTGTAATTCATTTGTTTCTTCGTCTTTTTGGGAGTTAAAAGACGATCGATTAATTTACTGTTACTCTGCACCCGACAGGTAGGAATAGGATCCCAGAGTTGTCCGACTCTCACATAACACTTAGAAACCACAATTGCATACGAACATAACATATACTACAAACAAAGCAAATGCAATGCATGTATTTTATTACGCAATTTTCCAATTTTCTTATTTAGTACTAGTATTATTAAAAGGTTAATCAGATTTGAGCCACATTGACTGTATACTTAATTAGTTTAAATATTGATTGGTGTGCATTACAGAATGGCCCTTGCTGTGATTTCCGTTAATAGCAGTTCAGCTAATTGTGTTTGAAGCCTCCAAGGTCCAACTGTACAAGTTTAATAACCCAGACTCAGACTCAAAGGGACGCCGGATCCCGGAGGTTACTGTTACAGAAGCAACGATAGATCCTCTCCTCTCTCTCTTCTCATCACTACCTATTGTCACTGTCTATATTATTTATTTACCTATCTGAATTTCTCAACAGAAACCATCACCGGCATTTCATTTTATACTTCTAGCAGTTAAGATGACTGGCATAACCGGAGCACGTTCCTGAGTAATGGGAGAGTTACCGAATGCGCTGGGAGGCGTGCGATCAACCTCAGCTCACCTTGATCTAATTAACCCTGCAGTTTGCAAGCCACAGGCACGAGATCATGATGACTTCATGCTCCGGGCTCTCACTGCTGTGTTTGGCATAGATCAAACCGATGGCAGAACAAACAAGAAGGCGCGTCAAGTGGTGCAGAAGCTTGGCTTGGTTGATCAGCCCGGTGAGGATGAGCAAGACAGTACTACTAACTTTGACCTGCTTGGTGGTGGTTGGTTGGAGGACAAGGCACCCGTGGAGGAGGTGCTTGGAGTAGGAAGATTAATGGAAGATCGCTGAGAGTGCTGCAATGCTTGGGGTTGAACAATGGGTGGGATATGGCTTAGATCGAGAAGATGTTGAAGGTTGTAGACTTGAATCTGGATGGAAAGCTAGATTATAGAAGATGATCTAAATTAATTAAATCATATGTGTTGAGCAAGGGAAAAAGATTAATTACTTCTACTCTAATTTCAATACCATTTTTGCCATGCTAATAATAATTGTATACTCCTTTTGATATATTTTTATCTTATCAATTAAAATGTGGTTGGCTTTCTCTGAATATATATTTCTTCCCTTTATTAATCCAATCCAAGATTCACTTCATTAATTCCGACTTCAATCTAATTAATAGTAGTAATTTACATTCACATCCAAAAGAAATATCTGAAACATGAAAGCAATTAACTAGATCTAATCCAACAAAGCAAAAGCAGGGGACACAGAAAATATATATTCACTCCAAACGCCAAATCTCAGTAACACAGCTCACAGCATCACCACCAATTCCATTATTCAGATTGGCAATATTGCTGATATCAGCATTTGCAAGTCCAAGGGCGGAATTCCCAGAAACCATCAATCCAGCATAGGAGGGATCATCTCCATGGACGGTAATGGTGGGTGAGACATTTGCCACCCGGCGAAGATTATGAGTAGCAATTGTTTGCGGTGAAGTCAAGTGACTTTGAAGGAGTTGATTCAAACCACAAGCCAAGGAGCCTCGGGCAAGCATATCCTCAGCCAGCTTTACCTATAATAATTACATTGTTATTATCATAACTACCATCATAGCAAGCATATTGATCGGTACATCCTCAAACCAAATGTAGACATAAGCTATAGCTGTAGAAGAAGGTCCGAAAACCCCTACCTTGGCTCTCAAGGCTTCCACATCTGACTTAAGCACTCGATTATCGGTGTCAGCATCACGAAATTGTTGATGAGCATTTGTAAGCTGCTTGTAAAGGGAATCATTTTCTCCCCTCAATTGTTCAGCCTTTAAGAAGAAATTGTAAAGGAAAAACTTAAGGCTTTGCTTCTATATATAGCTAGTTAGATAGAATTAGTAATTAACAATAACCTGCAATTCGAGATCAGCCAGATGCTCTTGCTTTCTTTTCCTTGACCGCCTGGCAGACTCCCTATTAGAAAGCTTCCTGCAGTAAGAAAAGTCAGATGAGTTCTGCATCAACATGTTTAGCAACTAGGCATTTATTTATATATGATATTATATACCTCCGGAGGCGTTTCAAAGAAGAGGGGTCTGATCTCTGTTCAGACTGCCCAGCGTCAGTTTCTACATCTTCTTCTTCTTCTTCTTCTTCATCATCATCATCATCATCATCGTCCGATGGGTCATGATCTGAGGAAGCACTTGTGACTCCTCTATCTTCAGTCTCCCTACTTTTGGGGTTATTCACTGCAGACACATTTCCTATTTTATCCAAATAATTAAATTAATTACAAAAGAATTCACTACTGCTACACTTAATAAAAGAACCTAGCTGATGATCAATGCCTTATATTAGAAAATTATTAATTGATCAGCAAAATGTTGTTAATGGTATTGGCATGGGTATGATCATACCACAAATGGAGAATTGCGAATCAAGGGTGGATCGCTTTGGGGTGAGATTCTGCGACAATAATACATGTGTTTCAGCTACTTCTCTGCCGTAACTGGAAGATTCATTAATTACTTCCTGACCACCAATTCAATAACAATATTTAAACCAAAATTAGACTAGCAGCTAGATACTACCAAAGCAAAAGCTCAGTATGTGATAAATTAATATATAATAATTAAGTGATTAATCAAGATCATGAAAAGGTTGATTCTATAGCAAAAACAAAAATCAAAAGGCTGGGAATTAGATCAAATGGATATAGAAAATCACGACTTAATTAGATCAACTTCAATAAACGATTTTCATATTTTGCTTTCAATTAATGTACAAAAAAAACTTTTATTTTAATAAAGAGCAAAACCAGAAGCATATATAATTAAATAGTATCTGCTAAAAAAATTATAAATGAGAAGTGATGATAAAAGGGGACATGTAATTAGGAGAAATGAAGAGGCGGGTGGTTAAAGCTTAAGTGTTGAAATATGGATAGTATTAACTAGATAGATGATAGAAGCATTATTAATCAGGTCGCATGCAATAAGCTGATGCAGACAGATCAGTGATCAGTGGATTCATCAATCATATAATCATAAATCTATATAAAATTCATATTAATTAAGGAGAAGGGAGAGATGAGGGAGAAATTAACCTGATAAGGATGATCTTTGAAGTCAGACAGATGATGGGCGGGCGATAAATAATTATTAAGATCAACAGCCGTATCGGGCGAGGCTGAGGGTTTAGCGGCGTTGGAGAAGGTGATCATACTACTTGTATTCATATTCTTCCTGATGAAATCCTCAAGAGCCAACTCCGAGGCGCTCCGCTTCATCATCTCTCTCTTTTATATATATATATATATATATCCACATGCACATGCACCCTGTCCCTTCTCGTTTGCTCTTAAGCCCTGATGAATTAATGACTGATGCAGAAGCAAGGTTGGGTAGGCCAATTCCCCAAGGAAGAACGACTGTGTACTCTTAGCATTAATCCAGCTTCTGCTAGCCGTTTATATAATAACTAATTGTTTCTTTCCCAGCAAAAGCTAATTAATTATTTACTAATTACACCTTGACTTATACGCCTCATATTGAACACATTACTGCAATGCTCTATTATACTCCTATTAATAAATCACCTTAATTTAATGCATATTAAAGCATCTCAATTATTGTCATAGTAAGTTAACTGTTAAGCTGATAATTTAACAAATTTCTTATGATCTATTGATAAAGTGTTTGAATTTTTAATTTTAATTATTAAAACTCAAATTTTGATAACGACGTATATAAAAAAAAAAAAAGTCCACTTGATATATAGTTATCCTAGTGGCTTCATTTCTTTTTCAATTACTATATATCCCATTGCCATCAAACTAGTTTCATATATTTCATCAAAACTAGTTCTATGTATATATATAATGCAAATATCACCAAAATAGCTTACATTAATTAAAAAAATATTTTGAAATTTTTTATCTTAATTTATTCTTTTAATTAAAATATCTATTCCATTCTTTAGGAATTATTTAAATAACAATAATAACCGACATCAAATTAAAAAAAAATTGAACACAAATATTGAAATTGAACTAATATTACTATATTAATTCCTCTCACAAAATAAAAAGCTTTCAATTATCAAGGGTGAATGATTATGTTTAAGGAGGGAACGCAATTGATGGCTTAATAATCATAGTCACCTTATTATAGTATTATTATTATTATTAAATAATTAATAAGTAATTAATTTAATTGATTAAATTTTATTTTTTTATAAAAAAAATTTTAAATTTTAAATTTATTAATAATTATTTTAAAATTATTTCGAATATATTATTTATATTTACTTATTTTAAGTCGTTAAATATGATATATATTATTTTAATTTAAAAAATTGTTTAATTTTTTTTTAATTTTTTATTAAAAAATTATTATTAAGATATTTACCCAAAAAAAAATTGAAAGTTGATATAGACTGCCACCGACCTTAAAGACAAAGTTGCCCAGAGATGCTTTATCATGCTCAGGAAAAGTAGCAGTAGCAGTAGTCATAGCTCATTTTATAAAAGTAGCAAAGGCCACAGCAAGCTAAAGCTTTGCTTTACTTTTAGACTGGGTCATGGATAATGCCAAATTTTCTACAGTGATTCTCGAAAAAAAGCAATTTCCAACGTGGCAATCGGCATATATGTAGATGCCAACGTTTAAAAGCACTTTCAGTTTTCTTTTGTAGTCACATTAATTAAATTTGTCCAGCTTTCCTTCCATCGTAAGGTAAGGGCTGACGCGATAACATTTATCTATAAAATATATAAAAAAAATATGTAATTTCTGCGTCTAAAGTGTCAAAAGCTTTATTTATGGTTAAATATAAAAATGATTTATGTATTATTTTTTTTTGTTAGTTTAGGAATTAAATAAATAAAATTATTAATTTGATACTTTAATAGTTTTATTTTTATTTCGTTATTTATTTTAATATTTCAGACTAATATTATTAATTAATTTATTGATATAATATAAATATTTAATAAAATAATTATACAGATAAAAAAAGGTCAATCAATATTACATCATTATTTGTTACGTTAATATTAAAATAAATTTTTTTTTAAATTTAAAAAAGTCTAAAATATTTTTCAAAAGTATAAAATTTAAAAATTATGAAAATTTAAAATTTTCTAAAAATCTAAAAAAATTTAAGAAAAATCCAAAAAAATTAAAAATTTTAAAAATGAAATCTTTAATAAAAATAATTTTTCTAAAATTAAAAAAATTCACAAAAACTTTAAAAAACTGAAAATTAAAAATAGTCTAAACTTTTTAAAAAAATTTTGAAAATTAAAAAAATTAAAAATTATGAAAAAATGTAAAAAATTTTTAAAACTCCAAAACATTTAAAAAAATTAAAAGAATAAAAATTTTTTGAAAAATAAAAAATAAAAAACTTAAAATAAAAAATTCAAAAAATTTTAAAAAATTCAAAAAATATGTAAAAATTAAAATTATAATACTCAAACAAATTAAAAATTTTCATAATTTTTTTTTCAATTTTTTCAAATAACTTTAAATTTTTATTTTCAAAATTTTAAAAGTTTTTGTGAATTTTTTTAATTTAAACAAATTATTTTTATTAAAATTTTCATATTTTTTAATTTACATAATTTTTTGAATTTTTTTTGACTTTTTATTAAAATTTTGAAAATTTTTTAATATTTTAAAATTTCATAAATTTTTATTTTTTAAAAAATATTTTAGTTTTTTAATTCTTTATAATATTTCAAAATTTTAAAATATTTTTTAAAAATTTTGAGATTTTTTTAATTAAAAAAATTTTCAATGTTAACATGGCAAGTGATGATACGATATTAATTGGACTTATTCTGATTGACGACGTTAGTCTCAAGTATTATAATAGAATTAAAATTAGAGTAACAATCTGACAATATTATTTCTTTAAATACCAAATTGACCAAAAGTGTATAATATAGAGATCATTTTTATATTTAACCTTTTTATATACTAAACAATCTTCATTTTGCTCATCAATTATATATTATAGGGTTAGTATGTAAAATGGCTTTTGTAGTATATATTTTTTGTTAATTTGATATCTAAAAAAAATAAAATTTTCACTTTAGTCCTTCAACTCTTATTATGTCTAATACTTTGGTATTTTGCATTATTACTGTTATTTATATGAATAACATAGCATGAATACTCAATAAAACTGTGCTATGTGTCATAAATATCTAATTATCATCATGTCCCTTATTGTCACATTAAAAAAATTTAAAAATTTTTAAAAATAAAATCTAATTATTTAAAAATATAAAAAAATTTTAAAAAATAGAAACAAAAGATTAAAGAGAAAAAAATTAAGAATGAGGGAAAAATGGGAGAAAAGAGAGAGATAAAGAGAACATAGAGGAAGAAAAGACGATGTTGCGACAAGCCTAAGGTCGAATCGGGCTAGTTTAAGTCCAAGGTTGACCGGCAACACCACAATGCCTTTTCCTTTTACCACATCTCATTTTTCTTTCTTCTTTCTTTCTCTTTCCTAGATTTTTTTAAAAATTTAAATTAAAAAATATATTTAAATTTTTTTTGAATTTCTTATTTAAATGTTGATGTGAAAAATAGATGATGTGAAGATGATTGAACATTTATGCTATATGTCATGATTTTATTAAGTATAAATGCCACATAAATAACTTGACCAATGGTGTTACTTTAGAGTACCAAAATATTTTGACAAAATAAAAGTTTCGGTATAAAAATGAGAACTTTATTTTTTTTTAGTTACTAAACTAATAGCAAGTATATAATATAGAGCCATTTTTTTTGTATTTAACCTTATATTATATATTCCTTTTAAAAAATATACTAGTTACTACATATAATATGTCCATATTCTGATGATCTAAAATCAAATTCTAACTTTTATTATAATAAAAATAAATAAATAAATAATTTTCATTGCAAAATATAGTGTAAATCAATAATCAACATTGTAGACACTCTATTTAATCTGAGACTCAAACCAATTGGGCTCAGATCCAATCCAAGCCCAATTGTCCAATTTCTTACATTTCTTTTTTATATCTTATTTGTCTTATTTATTTAATTATCTTTTATTTTTATGTTTTAATCTTTTATTTATCTGGTTTTAATTTTTTATTATAAATCATGTTAATAAAATTTGTAGAGTAATTTGAGCATTAATCAAGGATGTTCTTGACAATTAAGACTTAAATGTGATCTCTTCAAATATTAAAAGAATGTTGAAAAGAAATCAAATCAAGAAATAAAAGTCAAATTTAATTTGAAAATTTTTAGTGGATTTTGAAAATAAAGAAAAATCGAGACAATTCCATAAATTAATTAATTTGATTTTAAAGAGAATTAAGAAAAAAATTAATTTAGAGCATAATTAGATTTGTAATCATTTTTATTCAATGCAAATCCTTAAAATTCCTAGTGAAAACCCCATATAAACACCAATCAACCACACAAAAAAAAAAAAGAAAAGAGAAAACCCACTAGGAAATAAATGAGTAGCAATCTATACTCAAGCTCTTTGATTGGAATTGGTGACTATCTGCCACTATAGATCAAGGGATACTACCGCTACAGATCAAGGGATACTTTCACCTAGTCGTGTCTTCATCCATTAAGGTAATTTTCACATTTTGTTTATTTATATATTTATTCATTTATTTCACTTTTTTTATGTGTGTTTAAAATAAAATTTAAAAATTATGAGTTTTAAAATATGAATTTTTTTATTTCATGGGTTTAAAAATTTTAAATTATGATTTTACTAAACTATTTGAGAATTTTTTAATGAATTTCTTGAAAAAAAATTTTCAATGCTTCCAAATTATTGGAGGATTTAAATTTTGAATTAAGTCTTACAAAACTATTATAGGATTTAATGAATTTTTTTTTAAATAATAATAATAAAATTTTCAATCCTCCCAAATTATTGGAGAATTTAAATATTGAATTAAGTTTTATCAAAATATTGGAGGACTTAATAAATTTTTTGTAAAAAAAAAATAAAAATTTCAATCCTACTAAACTATTAGAGGATTTAAATATTGAATTAGATCTTACTAAACTATTAGAATGCTTAACGAATTTTTTAAAAATAAATTTCATACATAATCTTACAATAAAATCTTACTAAATTATTGAGAGATCTATATCAAAGTAAATATTACCAAATTATTGAAAGATTTTACTAATTATTTCTTTAAATAAAATTTATATGAATCCGATGCCGGAGTTTTTTCAAAGTAAGATACTAGTATCCGTGAATACTCTTAAGGTGAGAAAATTATCTTAAATTAGTACCAAACTATTGGAGTAATTTTAGATTAATTTTTAATAATTAAATTATTTGACAAATTATAAAGATATTTTTAGCCTTGGATAACTTGAAATCAAATTGGTACCATATTTTGGATAGACGTTATGAGGGTGCTATAACACACCTTACGTGTAATTGTACTTCTGAACTTAAATCTGGTTTCGTAGACTAGAATATACCATTTAAAGATACCTAAGTCAAGTTTGAAACTTCTCTTTAAAATGGGATATATTCAATTAGGTGGTCAATCGCATTTAAATAATAAAGATTGGTGGTGGCTCATTTAATCT